ACCCTGCCCAAGGTCAGGGTGCAGTGCCTCTCGCCGGCTCTGGCTACGGGTCACAACCAGGGCGGTCTGGGGATTGCTTGGCCAGTCCTCTAGCTCTCCCCCCATCAAAACTTCAGTGGGCAAATGGTGGTGCACCCCAACATCCTTGGGGCCCTCCTTGGCTCCCCATTTCAGGTGTACCCTTGCCACGGGCACCTTAAATGGGGTCCCGCCCACCCCTGTCAGGGTCAGGTAGGTGTTGGGCACCACCCGATCTGGGGCCACCACCTCGGGCCGGGCCAGCGTCACCTCCGCGCCCGTATCCCAGTATCCATTGATCTTCCTCCTATTCACCTCCAGGGGAACAAGGCACTCTCTCCGGAGGGACAGCCCCGCGCCCACCCTGTAAACCGAGCACCCTGAGTCCAGAGCCTCCAGCCCTCTGGTGGAGCTGGCCTGGGGTACTCTTCCCTCCTGCACAGGTGGTAAACTGGTAGCCCCCCTTGCCTGGGTCGTCTGCCCCTCGTCCAGCTGGGTCCCTACCTGGTTAACCCTGGGTAGGTTGGGTCTGCTCAGTTTGTCCCTGAGCCCGGGGCACTGGGTCCGTACGTGGACTCTCTGGCCACAGTGATAGCAGCTCCGGTCACGTTGGTCCCCTCGAGCGGGTCGGAGGGGCCCGACGCCAGGCGTTCCCCTTTGGAGGGGGTTCCCCCTATTTCCCCGCTGGGAGGCCCCATGGTGACTCTCTCTCTGCATCGGGGGGGGGGGGGGGGGCTGTTCTTTTGGGATTCCTCCTGGCTACCCCCTGACCGACTGTTCATAGAATCATAGGATCATAGAATATCAGGGTTGGAAGGGACCTCAGGAGGTCATCTAGTCCAACCCCCTGCTCAAAGCAGGACCCATACCCAATTAAATCATCCCAGCCAGGGCTTTGTCAAGCCTGACCTTAAAAACTTCTAAGGAAGGAGATTCTACCACCTCCCTAGGTAACACATTCCAGTGTTTCACCACCCTCCTAGTGAAAAAGTTTTTCCTAATATCCAATCTAAACCTCCCCCACTGCAACTTGAGCTCCTTCCTGGAGCTGCAGCTGCAGGGCTGTTTCCCTGAGCCCTTGGCCCCCTGCTCTAGGGACTCACCACAGGAGCTAGCTCCACTCCAGCGTGGCTTTCCCTCCCCAGGCTCAGCCTGTCTCAGTCTTTCCTTCCCAGCTGCCCCTGAGCAGCCCTTTATAGGTTCTGGTGCCACCCCGCCCTCTTTAACTGGCTGGGTTGGGCTCCCCTGCTCTAGTCCAGGGGCGCTGGGCTCAGTCTAGCCACAGGGACCAGTTAGATGTCTATGATTCTGCACCAGCAGCTGAGCAGCCCAGAAGGAATCACGCACTTGTTCCCTTGAATTACATGCAGCCATCCTGGCCACAAAAGTGAGACAAGAACAGGCCTGAGGGAGGCGCTTTAGGGACTTCCTGGACACATTTGTCCATCCATCCATGCTGTCAAGTTACTGGAGAATCGGCAATAACTAGACACTTGCTGTCCAGTGCCAGGCCTGGTGGGTACTCGACCTACCTCCTGTGAGCCTTGAACCAGCCATGGCCGGACAACCCTGCAGCTGTTTCGTCTCCAGGAAGGGTCCAGAAGCCAGGCCCAGTTCTTTAGAAGCTCCTCAGCGCCGGAGCTGAGAGTGGCTCACCCCTGTAGCGAGAGGGAGAGAAATGCAATAGTAACCTCCCAGGGCTGAGCGAGATGTTTCTTCCTCTGTGTTTCCCTTTATTACCGTTACAGGGACCCCTGCTCAGGCACCATGGGACCTGCTGACTCCAGAGCTGCCCTCCAGCCTCATGTGGCAAGGTGGGTGAGCCACCAGCTGCTGCTGGGGAGAGAGACCAGCGTTCCAGCTTGCCCAGGGCTCTCGTGAGCTCTGCAGATGAGCTCTGTGTGACTTGACAGCATGTCTCTCTCACCAGCAGAAGCTGGTCCAATAAAAGATATTCCCTCGCCCGCCTTGTCTTGCTAATATCCTGGGACCCACATGGCTACAGCCCCACTGCAGATTCCAGCCTGTCACGGTGCCACTTACCACCACAAGAGGGTGCTCCAGCCCCATGCAAGGCGCCATGGCCCTTCTCCTCCAGAGGGGACACAGGGGATGAACTCTGGGCACCAGGGTATCCCCAGGCTGGGGCAGCCCCTGCCAGCACACCGCAGGGACGTGGCATCCGACCTGGCTGAACCTCTGTGGGGGGCACCCAGAATGTGCCTGAGTCAAGGGTACTGGAGGGTGTTGGCAGTGCCCAGCACAATGGAGCCTGCTCCTGACGGGCCCCTGGGAGCTCCCGCAGCACAGACACCCACTGCCATGCCTCCGGTGTGTGCCCTTTCCTGACCATGCTGCTGCATTTGTTCTTACCTGCGGAGCCCCTGCTCCTGGGCACGCCCGCTGGGCTTCAGCGACAGCGGGGGTCCTGAGCACTGGCCGTTTGTTCGGCACCGGGAGAGGTGCACAGACAGACAGGCCTTTGTTCGGGGTCTCTGCCTCCTGGGCCTCCAGCGCAGCCCAGGACATCCCACTGAGTGCTGCCGTTCTCCTTCCCAGGCACGGCTCCTGGCCGGTGGGGACTCCTCCGCCACCCTGCTGCTCCCCGCCCAGCAGGACTGCAGGCCTCAGTCGTACCCGGGGAGGCTGCTGATGCTGACTACTGGGCCACTGGGTCCTGGGGGGATGTCGCCGACCCTAGAGCACTGCCCAGCCTTTGGGCAGCACCCAGAGCCTGCCCCACCTGCCTGAACTCAGGCAGGAATAACTCCTTCCCCTTCACAGGCCACGTCTCCATAGTCACGGCACGCTGAGGGAATTGCTGTGCAAACAAGGCCGAGCCCTGCCCACCTGGGATGGCCAAGAAGGCCCCAGACTTGTAGCAACCTGGGTATTTTTTTGTTACTCTCCTTCCCTGACTTGGTCACCTTGTGCAGCTCCTCCTGGGCAGAGCGCTTCGGTGCTCAGGGGAGCAGAGGCCTTTAGCTGGCCTGCTGCCCGGGGTGAACTGTGGCCTGGGTGACGGCACAGTCTCCAGTCATTGCCTGTCACTAGCTGTCGTGCGGCTGGGCGGAGCGCGATCGGCACAGACCGGGCTCTGGAAATGGGTTCTCCGTGGTGCGACGGGCGACTAGACTAGACAAGGAGCCTTTGCAGGGCTGCCAAGTGACGCCCCGCCCCATGCAATCACCAGTGCCCAGCTGTGAGGGGCATCCCGGTGCACACTGTGCTGATGGGGGAGGGGAGTCCGAGTCCCTTGCCACTGTTCTGTGGTTTGTTCCCATCCCCGTAGCGTGTAACAAGGACGCTGGGAACTTGACACAGCTGCTGAACACTTTTCAGAGGAGCAGCCATGTTAGTCTGTATCCACAAAAAGCAAAGGAGGACTAGGGCACCTTAGAGACTAACACATTTATGAGAAGGGGGAACTCATCTGCTCCCCGCAGTCGGATCTAGCTCCAGTGCTGAGAACTGGGAGAGACGCTGGCCACGTGACAAAGTCCTTTCCACCCGGTGGCTGTGCGGCGGCCACCATGTGAGATGAGTTTGGAGGGTGTCTCGGTCTTGTTCCTAGCGGGCAGCTGCCCCCTTAGTGAGTCCCAGAGAGGCCGAGGCGTGAATGGGCCCCAGAGATAGGCCGACCTCGCTCCTAGGGCCAGGGCTCGGGAACAGCCAGAGCATGGGGTGTGCCACACCAGCGCCCTGCTGAAGATGCTGCAATTCTCCAGAATCTCATCCAGCCTCTAGCTCAGGGGTTGGCAAACTACGGCCCGGGGACCGCATCTGGCTCTTCAGACATTTTAATCTGGCCCTCAAGTTCCCACCAGGGAGCAAGGTCCAGGGCTTGTGCCCCTCCATGGCTCCAGCAGGGGAGCAGGGTTTGGGGCTTACCCCGCTCCGTGTGTGCCATGGCTCTGCGCAGCTCCTGGAAGCAGCAGCATGTCCTAACTCCGGCTCCTACACATAGGGGCAGCCAGGGGGTTCTGCACGCTGCCCCCGCAGTTCCCATTGGCCAGGAACCGTGGCCAATAAGAGCTGCAGGAGCGATGCCTGCGGACAGGGCAGCGTGCAGAGCTGCTTGGCCATGTCGCCATGTAGGAGCCGGAGGGGGGACATGCCACTGCTTCTGGGAGCTGCATGAGGTAAGCGCCGCCTGGAGCCTGCACCCCTGACCCCCTGCCGTGCCCCAACCCCCTGCCCCAGCCCAGATCCCCCTCCCACCCTCTAACCCCTCGGTCCCAGCCCAGACTACCCTCCTGCACCCCAACCCCTAAACAGAACCTATAGAGATGGAAAAGAGGGAGGTGACAGAAGTCTATAAAATACTGACTGGTTGAGAAAAGGGAGAGAAGGAGGGTCTGTTCTCCCATCTCATAGAACAAGAAAAAGGGGACAATGGATGCAATTGAAAGGTGGGAAATTCAAAACTGATGAAACAAAAATATTTTTCATATTGTCTAATTAGCCGGTGGAACTCATTGCCACAGGAAGCCACTGAGGCCAATAATTTAACAAAATGGAAAAAGGGACTGGACATTTCTCTGGAAAACAGGACCCTCCGAGGTTGTTAGAACAGACTGTGGCAGGGCTCTGGTCCCTCTGGATGCAGGGCTTCAGCCAACCTCGAACTATTAGAGACCAGGATGAGACCTAATGTGTGGGTGTGGGTGAGGGGCAGATTATCCCACCTCTGCTGCTGCTTAGTTCTTACACCTTCCTCTGCAGCATCTGGGGCCGGGCACTGTCCCAGAGAGGAGACGGAGCTCGAAGGACCTGAGGCCTGATCCCTCTGGTGATGCCTGCGTTCCTGTGCCCCTGAGACCTGTGCTCTGCAGAGACATGCAGCTCGGCGCTGCGCTGGGGCCAGCATGAGACCCCCGGGCAGTGGCAGGGAGGAGCCAGGCCCAGTTACTGATTTGTTTGGTGTAACCAAGGCCCTATGAGGCCCTTGCTGTGTGTGGCAAGGAGCTGTAACCCAGAGACAGCTCAGCAAAGGGCAGCGTGATGAGCAGCGCCCAGCACAGCCACCCCATCGCAGCTGTTACTAACAACAAACCCTCCCTCCCGGTTACTATAAAAGGTGCAGCTCGGAGCCCCCCCCGTTCCCAGCCTTCGTCCTCCGAGCCCTTTGCTGTCGGATCGAAGAACCTCTGCAGCATGGTGAGTCCCGCCTGGGACTGGGGCTGCCCGTCCCCCCAGCGCGAGTGGGGGGCAGTCCCAGGCTAGGGAGGAGCAGGGTCTCCTGAGCTCCCTGGTTCCTGTGGTGCCCTGGGAGGGTTTAGACGTAAGAGAGCTGTACGGGGGGATTGGTCCCTGCTCCTAAAGGTGATCCATGTGGGCAGAAGCACGCGGAGCAGCCCCAGAGCAGAGCAGACTCCAGAGCTCAGAGGCGTCACAGGAGTGGGACGGTGCTTGGCGGGCGTTTGTCCAGCAGCTGTTGCTGGCTGGGAGGGGGAAGGGGGTGCAGACAGCACAAATTCAGGAGTGGGCAAAGGAGACAGAACAAGCTGGGGCCGCGCAGTGGGAGGGGGGCAGGTGAAGGCTGGAAGGAGGCTGAGACGGAGGCGAGTGGGGCTGTGTGGAGGGTAGGCAGCCTGACTCTGGCTGGGGAAGGAGAGGGGCAGCCAGGGAAGGGAGGTGAGCTGGGAGAGAGGGGCCAGAGAGATGGAGGGAGGCCAGAGAGGAGGAGGGGAGAGGTGACGGGGGCTGGATCTGTGCAGATGATGGGAAGGGGCGATTGTAGGGGAATGCAGCGGGAGAGGCCAGATGTGGGGCGAACGTGAGGAAGCAAAGCCCTGAGCCGGGCCGAGAGGCAGGACAGCAGTGCTCGGCAGGGAAGCAGAGGGATGGAGAGGAAAGATAACTCCGGGCTGCAGCTAGCAACTTGGAGGAAGCAGCACCAGAACCGGGGAGAGGCCAGTGAACAAATCTGGTTTTCTGATGCACAAGCAGCTGGCCAATTTCTCCCTGCCCCCCCGAGCCCAGTTTGAGGTGGGCGGGGATGGTAGGTGGCTCTCCCTGGTCTCGGGATCCCTCACGCCCAGAGACTGTCCGCAGCGGGTCCTGTCCTTGCACGACATGCCCCACAGACAGCGGCTGGGCCCCTGTCCCACGACGGTTCCTTGTTCTTCGCCCCCAGCGCGAGTGCATTTCCGTCCACGTCGGCCAGGCCGGCGTGCAGATCGGCAATGCCTGCTGGGAGCTGTACTGTCTGGAGCATGGCATCCAGCCGGACGGGCAGATGCCCAGCGACAAGACCATTGGGGGAGGGGACGACTCCTTCAACACCTTCTTCAGCGAGACGGGCGCCGGGAAGCACGTCCCCAGAGCCGTCTTTGTGGACCTGGAACCCACAGTGATTGGTGAGTGCTGAGCGCCGGGGGGAGGGATGGGGCTGGGGACCTAGTGATCCCTGTGTGAGCACGGCCTGCCTCGGCGTTTGCACGCACCAGTCACAATAAACTGAGCCACCCAGCCCCACTGGTCTGGTGTGAAAGGCTCTGCATCCCGGCTCTGACTCTTTGGGCCACCCTCTGGAATCAGATAGCACAGAGCAGGTTTATGAGCCCTCTGTGGGGCCGGCAGGGGCAACAAACATCTAGGGCGGGAACGTCAGGGTCCATGGGCTGGTCAGTGTCACAGGAACAGCTGCTGGGAACAAAGCTACGTGAGCCCTTCATCTCTCACTCGCTAATCCATGCAGCCCTGCTCAGGTGTGCATGGGCACCAAGGTTCCTCCAGGTGGGGCGGGCGCTAACCGGGCTGTGCTGTGAATTCCAGACGAGGTTCGGACCGGCACTTACCGCCAGCTCTTCCATCCAGAGCAGCTCATCACCGGCAAGGAAGATGCTGCCAATAACTATGCCCGCGGGCACTACACCATTGGGAAGGAGATCATCGACCTGGTGCTGGACAGGATCCGGAAGCTGGTAAAGACGCTAGGGCAGGCAGGGTTCTGGGAAGCTCTCGGATTCCAGGTGGAGATAATGCTGAGTGGTGGTTGGATGGTGAGGGAGCATGTCACGGAGTCCCTGGGCGATGCTCTGGAACTGCTCCCCATGAAGCCAGTCAGGACTCTGGGGCAGTTGCCTTTCTGTGAGCAGCCTGTCTTCAGGACACACAGCTCACACAGCTTCCACCTTCCTGGGTCTGACCTCGGAGCATTCAGCATCCTCTGCCCCTCCGTGCGCTTCCCCCAGCGAGTCCGCTCAGGCGGGGCTCCTGGGGAAGCCAGAGGGTCCTGCACCCCAACTTCGCAGTCAGACGTGACTCTCAGCCAGCCAGTAAAACAGAAGGTTTATTAGATGACAGGAACATGGTCTAACACAGAGCTTGCAGGTGCAGAGAACGGGACCCCTCAGCTGGGTCCATTTTGGGGGGCAGTGAGCCAGACAACCACGTCTGCACTTCACTCCATGTCCCAGTCAGCCCCAAACTGAAAACCCCCTCCAGCCCCTCCTCCTCTGGGCTTTGTTCCTTTCCCGGGCCAGGTGGTCACTGTGACGAAGTGGGACTGTTCTTAATGTTTCCTCTGAATAGTGTGGGGGTGCCTCAGTTTCCCCTAGGCAGTTCTTAAGTATCTAGGGGGTGGAGTAAGGGTGTATGATCATTGCAGAGCCCTAGAGGGCATGGAGGAGTCTGGACACAGAGAATGGCCAACGCCCTGTTTCCTGGCAACTGATGGCCTGGGCCCTTCCCCCCCTGCAAGGTGAGAGCTGAAGGGTTGGAGAACAAAGGAATCAGGTGACCACCTGGCCCGGGAAAGGAACAAAGCCCAGAGGAGGAGGGGCTGGAGGGGGTTTTCAGTTTGGGGCTGACTGGGACATGGAGTGAAGTGCAGACGTGGTTGTCTGGCTCACTGCCCCCCAAAATGGACCCAGCTGAGGGGTCCCGTTCTCTGCACCTGCAAGCTCTGTTTTAGACCATGTTCCTGTCGTCTAATAAACCTTCTGTTTTACTGGCTGGCTGAGAGTCACGTCTGACTGCGAAGTTGGGGTGCAGGACCCTCTGGCTTCCCCAGGACCCCGCCTGAGCGGACTCGCTGGGGAGAAGCGCACGGAGGGGCAGAGGATGCTGAATGCTCCGAGGTCAGACCCAGGAAGGTGGAAGCTGTGTGAGCTGTGTGTCCTGAAGACAGGCTGCTCACAGAAAGGCGACTGCCCCAGAGTCCTGACTGGCTTCATGGGGAGCAGCTCCAGAGCATCACCGGGGACTCCGTGACAGTCACCTGATCCCTTTGTTCTCCAACCCTTCAGCTCTCACCTTGCAGGGGGGGAAGGGCCCAGGCCATCAGTTGCCAGGAAACAGGGTGTTGGCCATTCTCTGCGTCCAGACTCCTGCACACACATGCCCTCTAGGGCTCTGCAATGATCATACACCCTTACTCCACCCCCTAGATACTTAAGAACTGCCTAGGGGAAACTGAGGCACCCCCACACTATTCAGAGGAAACATTAAGAACAGTCCCACTTCGTCACAGAGCAAAATCAGCTTCTGCTGCCCACACATTCGCTGGGCATCACCAGCTTCCTCCGTAGCCTGGGGCAAGAGCAGTGGTGGCCAACATGCAGCTGGACTGCGGAGTCTGCAGGGCCCAGCATGCAGGGATCCACTGAGAGGTGAATGGCCTCTCTGCTTGGATCTAGCTGGAAGGCTGCAAGGCTGAGACCTGCAACTGCCTGCCCAGGCCACACCTCAGTCTGGAATACGAGGATGGCTAGAATCCGCACCATTGTACGGCAGCTAGGCGCAGCCCTCAGGGTCACAGTGACCTGCTAATAGAAAAGGAGGACTTGTTGCACCTTAGAGACTAACCAATTTATTTGAGCATAAGCTTTCGTGAGCTACAGCTCACTTCATCGGATGCATACTGTGGAAAGTACAGAAGATCTTTTTATACACACAAACCATGAAAAAATGGGTGTTTACCACTACAAAAGGTTTTCTCTCCCCCCACCCCACTCTCCTGCTGGTAATAGCTTATCTAAGGTGATCACTCTCCTTACAATGTGTATGATAATCAAGGTGAGCCATTTCCAGCACAAATCCAGGGTTTACATCTGGGGGGGCGGGGTAGGAAAAAACAAGGGGAAATAGGTTACCTTGCATAATGACTTAGCCACTCCCAGTCTCTATTCAAGCCTAAGTTAATTGTATCCAATTTGCAAATGAATTCCAATTCAGCAGTTTCTCGCTGGAGTCTGGATTTGAAGTTTTTCTGTTGTAATATCGCAACTTTCATGTCTGTAATCGCGTGACCAGAGAGATTGAAGTGTTCTCCGACTGGTTTATGAATGTTATAATTCTTGACATCTGATTTGTGTCCATTTATTCTTTTACGTAGAGACTGTCCAGTTTGACCAATGTACATGGCAGAGGGGCATTGCTGGCACATGATGGCATATATCACATTGGTAGATGTGCAGGTGAACGAGCCTCTGATAGTGTGGCTGATGTTATTAGGCCCTGTGATGGTGTCCCCTGAATAGATATGTGGGCACAGTTGGCAACGGGCTTTGTTGCAAGGATAGGTTCCTGGGCTAGTGGTTCTGTTGTGTGGTATGTGGTTGTTGGTAAGTATTTGCTTCAGGTTGGGGGGCTGTCTGTAGGCAAGGACTGGCCTGTCTCCCAAGACTTGTGAGAGTGTTGGGTCATCCTTCAGGATAGGTTGTAGATCCTTGATAATGTGTTGGAGGGGTTTTAGTTGGGGGCTGAAGGTGACGGCTAGTGGCGTTCTGTTATTTTCTTTGTTAGGCCTGTCCTGTAGTGGGTGACTTCTGGGAATTCTTCTGGCTCTATCAATCTGTTTCTTCACTTCCGCAGGTGGGTATTGTAGTTGTAAGAATGCTTGATAGAGATCTTGTAGGTGTTTGTCTCTTTCTGAGGGGTTGGAGCAAATGCGGTTGTATCGCAGAGCTTGGCTGTAGACGATGGATCGTGTGTTGTGGTCAGGGTGAAAGCTGGAGGCATGTAGGTAGGAATAGCGGTCAGTAGGTTTCCGGTATAGGGTGGTGTTTATGTGACCTGCTTATGCAGCCTTCATCTGGGTTCTGTCCATGCCCTCAGGGTGCAGGGGAACTCGGTGCCCAAGTGTGTGCCGTGAATTCAAGCTGTCTCGGGCACTGGCTGGAGCTGTCTCACCCCTTCCCAGGGAGCTAGAACAGGTCCCTTCACGCCCGGGGCAGCGGACCCCAAACTGCTCTCAGGGAAGAGGCAGAGAAGTGCAGCTCCAGGACAGGCTCTGGCATGGGAGGCCCAGGATGGCAGAGCCTGGGACGGGGGACGATGAGAGGGGATGGGTTCTCCATCCACACAGGGAAAGGAGCCGGTGGACAGGCTCTGTGCCTCCAGCCTCTTCTTGCTTTCAGTGGTGCTGGTGTGACTGCGCATCCAATGCTGAAGCCATGCTGGTGCCACCAGAGCTCACACCAGCATGCTCCTCGGTGAGCCGGGAGGTGAGTGGTTATGGCAGAGAGAAGCCCCGGGCCCGGCATGGTGAGAAGGAGACTAAAGCGAGGATTAGTAATAGGGCTCTGGGAGCAGAAGGTGAGTTGGGTGTGTGTGTAGGGGGCTTTCAGGAGTCAGGATAAAGACAGGCAAGGGGTGAAAGACAGAGAGCGGGTGACAGCGAATCAGTACGGGGGTCCTGGAAGCTGACACATTTTCCATAAATCTCTTTCTGCTGGAACACTTCTACCTTCCCCCACGGGCTCCTGAGCACTGAAAGTCCTCCGGAGCCCTCCTGTCATCTCACAGCACAGCTGTGAAATCCTGGGGCCCTACTGCACAAGGGATGGGACGACTGAGCCCCTGGCAGGGTGCTGAGTGATACAGGCTGCTCTGCTACACGGCCTGGGAGAGCCGAGCTGGGACACACATCTCACTCCCGGCTGCCTGCCCCTTTCCCAGGCTGAGCCCTCTCTCTTTCCTGGATCCCCGCAGGCCGACCAGTGCACGGGGCTCCAGGGCTTCCTCATCTTCCACAGCTTCGGGGGCGGCACCGGCTCCGGATTCACTTCCCTGCTGATGGAGCGTCTCTCCGTTGACTATGGCAAGAAGTCCAAGCTGGAGTTCTCCATCTACCCAGCGCCTCAGATCTCCACCGCGGTGGTGGAGCCCTACAACTCCATCCTGACGACCCACACCACCCTGGAGCACTCGGACTGCGCCTTCATGGTCGACAACGAGGCCATCTATGACATCTGCCGCAGGAACCTGGACATCGAGCGCCCCACCTACACCAACCTCAACCGGCTAATAGGTCAGATTGTGTCCTCCATCACCGCCTCCCTCCGATTCGATGGTGCCCTCAATGTGGATCTGACAGAGTTCCAGACCAACCTGGTGCCCTACCCCCGCATTCACTTCCCGCTGGCCACCTACGCCCCCGTCATCTCTGCAGAGAAGGCCTACCATGAGCAGCTCTCTGTGGCTGAGATCACAAACGCTTGCTTTGAGCCAGCCAACCAGATGGTGAAGTGTGACCCCCGCCACGGGAAATACATGGCCTGCTGCCTCTTGTACCGCGGGGACGTGGTGCCCAAAGATGTCAACGCTGCCATTGCCACCATCAAAACCAAGCGCAGCATCCAGTTCGTAGACTGGTGCCCAACTGGCTTCAAGGTTGGCATCAACTACCAGCCCCCGACGGTGGTTCCCGGCGGCGACCTGGCCAAGGTGCAGCGGGCCGTGTGCATGCTGAGCAACACCACGGCCATTGCCGAGGCCTGGGCTCGGCTGGACCACAAGTTTGACCTGATGTATGCCAAGCGGGCCTTCGTGCACTGGTACGTGGGAGAGGGCATGGAGGAGGGGGAGTTCTCAGAGGCCCGGGAGGACATGGCTGCCCTGGAGAAGGATTACGAGGAGGTGGGGACAGACAGTGTGGATGGAGAAGAAGAGGAAGAGGAAGGTGATGAATACTAGAGGGTAAATGTCCTGTTTGGATGGCTGGGAATCAACCTGATGTCTTCCTCACTGATGCACTTGGGACGATTGTCCACCTTAAATAAAACAGTTCCTCCAGTCACGTTGTAGGGCTTTAGTTTGCTGCATCCATTTACCTGTTCCCAGTCTGAGCTATGCCCCTTCATCCCACGCCTGGTGCAGCCACAGGAAGGAAGTGGACGCAACCCCCGTTGTCTGCCAGGCTGAACTCTACAATCTGCCAGCTGCCGAGCGCACTTCACTGGCTCGAGACAGAGCCGCTGTGCCATTGTCCCATCCCCTGGCACCGCTCTGGGCGAGGGGCTCCCGGTGAGGCGCACAGACCCTAACCCTAGACAATGCCGACTGGGTCATGAGTGACAGGGAGAATCAGATGGAGGTGAAGAGGGGAACCGGTGGGCTGTGTAGATCCCTGGGGTCGGGATGCTGGGGCCAGCACATGGGCCCCACGGATCATGGGCCCAATCCAACACTATATATTGGCTGGGGACACGGAACCCTCCTCCATGGTGCTGCTAAGAAATAACCCTCCCTGGTCTCTTCATTGCTCTCCCAGGTCTTCTCGTCCATCTCTGCTGGTTAGCTTTTCCCTTTGCCTCCCATGTCACCTCCGATACCTTTCACACGGGACCTCGTACAACACAGATACTGGCGATGAGAGGACTGACTGTATCCATCCATTTCCATGTTCCAGTACCCTGGCACCTTGGAACCCGGTTCACTCCTTCAATGTGGGGTTAAGAATACAGGGGGAGGGGAGAGGTCTTCCCCTGACCTTAGACCCATAGGCCATCCACTGGTCACCCGTCTGGCAATAATAATTCCTTCCATGAGGCAGTCAGATTGGGTGGGAGAGGCTGTCTGAGCTCCCCTATCTCCTGGACAGCCGTTAGCGATGACATTGTCAGCCGGGAGGGAGGGAGAGCGCTGCAGGGGCCGATCCTGAGAGCTCGGACCCCCACAGGACCGATGGCTGCTTGCTAGCATCCTTTCCTGTTTCTCTTTTCCTTTAACCTAAGTGCTCTCCACCCCTTCTCTGCTCTGTCCCCTGGGCTGACTCGCTTTGTGTCACCCCGTCCAAGGGAGACTGTCCCAAAATGCCCCCTGGCTCCTAGCAACTGTGCTCTTGGGAGGAACGGCTGCTGGAATCTAAACAGCTTTGAAACCACTCATGGAGAGGTTACAAAGAGGAACAGCCCGTTCTAGGGGGGTAGCCATGTCGGTCCCAGGACGTTAGCGAGACAAGGTGGGGGAGGGAATAGCTTTTATTGGACCCACGGCTGTAGGTGAGAGAGAGCAGCTTTCACAGATCTCTTCAGCAGGCCTGAGGCAGAGCTCTGTCCCTCTCACCTACAGAAACGGGTCCAATAGAAGCGATTCCCTCCCCCGCTCATTCTAGGAGCCTCACACAAGGGACGTCAGCCTCCCCACGCCCTATCAGCGCCGTGTGTGCTGGGTGTCTGGCAGTGCCCATCCGAGCTCACCTGGGACTCCAGTAGGCAGCGCCAGCGCCCTCGGAACAGCACCTTGTCCGTGCCGGGGGGACTCTGGGAGCGTCCTGGAGCGGTGCGTGTTGGCACTCACCAACCCAGCCCAGCAGTGGCTGACCTCGCGGCTCCACCCCAAGGAGACAGGTGCGCTAGAAACACAGGACAGATGATCCAGGCTCAGAACAATAATTTCCAGCTCCACAAACCGACCAACACAGAACCTATTAGTTCATACAACAACCTGGGTTTGGGTGCTGTGAATTTCAGCAGGGCATTCGAGCATGTTCAGTGTCTCTGGGGGCTCACGACTAGGTGTCCTGTGTGACCCGATGGAGCACGTCTATGTCAGGGGTTCTGCACAAGTCGGGCAATGTCTGGATAATAAATAAAAACAGTAACACACGTCAGCAGCGAAAGGGTTAATAGCGAGGGTGACGCCCACAAGGAACTGAAAGGCATGTCCTGAAAGGAGGATCCTCTCTAGGGATGTAGAAAAATTGGAGATGGGACAAAAAAGAGCCCCAGAAATGACTGAGGGCCAGCGCTAACGGCTTGCCACGAGAGACTTACAGAGATCCATCTGTTTAGCTTTTCGAGATGAAGCTCGAGATGTGACTTGCCTGGAGTGTGTCAGGACCTTCAGGGAGAACACAGTGGGTGCTAACGGGCTCTTTAGTCTAGTGGAGCCAGGCAGAACCAGAGCCAAGGGCTGGAAGCTGAAGCCAGACTAATTCTAATGAGAAACGAGGCACAAATTAACAGTGCGGGTGATTAGCCACGGGCACTGCCAACTGGCTGGCTTCCCATCCGGCCTGGTGCCTTCCTGGATGATGCTTTTGCCGGACAAGTCCCTGGGCTCCAGGCAGGGAATGGCCTGGGCTAGAGAGGGGGTCAGATTTTGTGAACTAAAGGTCCCTCCTGGCCTTCACCTCGATGACTGTACGAGTGGCACATCAAGAGTTTGTAACCTCCCAGTGCACTGCCCTGACATCACAATCAGCCTGAGCTTTCCATTGGCTGCAGCAGCTGCCAGTCAGCAGGGGAGGAATGTGATGGGCTGCTGGTGAGCTCCTGCCCTGCACCCCTGTGTACCACCGAGACCACCTGCAGTGCAGATCTCTCCTGATGCAGTAAGGTAGGGCCTGGGCTTTATCAGAGGGGTGGGGAGCCCAGCAAGCACTGAAATACCCTGGAGAGGGACGAGCTGGGTGGAGACCTGAGGGACGGGGGATGGTGAAGGGGAGAGGTGGTGACTGGAGAGCGCCTGACGCAATTGGTGCAGAGCAGAGAGTGGAAAGGGGATGCAGGAAAAAGCATGAGGGTCAGACAAGGGCTGGTCTCCTGGGCATGGGCCTAATACCCACGGCCTAGGAGCCTGGCCCCACGCTCTGCCCTGGGAAGGGCCATAAACCTCAGCCAACGGTGAGCGCAACACCCTCCCGACCCCAGCAGGTCTCCCCTGCCAGGACAGGGATGGGTCTGGCTTGTGGGCTAAAGCTCCCTTTGCATGTCTGAGAACCACAGCGAGGGAAGCTGCTCAGATCTCACCCAGAGTATCAACAAAACATCTGTGGCCAATTGGCTTAAAGATAGGAAGAAGTTTATACAATATATCAGAAAAATACTAGTGTTAGCAATGGTATGGGCCCATTTCGAGACAGAGCAGTAAAAATGTCAATAATGATGTAGAAAAGGCAGAAGTGTTCAATAAATATTTCCGGTCTGTATCTCAAACCAAGCTGAATGATGTCTCCACATTATACACGACGATCACTTACTTGCTTTTTCATCGGTAACAAAGGAAGATGTTAAACAGCACCTGCTGAAGCTAACCATTTTAAAATCAGATAACTTGCACCCTAGAGTTTTAAAAGAGCTGGCCAAGGAGCTCTCCAAATCAATGGTATTCATTTTTTGTAAGTCTTGGAAAATTGGAGAAGTTTCAGAGGACTGAAAGAAAGCTAAAGTTGTGTAATTATTTTAAAAGGGTAAACAGGATAACCCAGGTCACTATACGTCAGTGAGTCTGACATCACTCCCAGGAAAAATTATTGAACAGCTGATATGAGACTATCAATATGACCATGTAATTAATACCAGTCAATATAGTTTCCTAGAAAGCAGGTCTTGTTAGACAAACTTGAGATCATTCTTTGACAAGGTTACAAGTGGGTCTGAAAAAGGGATTGGTGTTGACCTACTATACATGGATTTTTGTGAGGCACTTGACTCATTACTGCACAATATTCTGATTAAACTACATGCACTGTATAAAATCAGTGCAACACATATTAAAAGGAGTAAAAACTGGCCAACTGATAGATCTCAAAATATAACTGTTAATGGGGAATAACCAACAAGTGGGGATGTTTCTAGTGGAATCCCCGGGGACTGGTTTTTGGCCCAACACTATCTAATATTTTTATTAATGATTTGGAAGAAAACCAATCATTGCTCAGAGAGTTTCCAGATGACGTAAGGCTTGGGGTGAGGCGGTAAATAGTGACAAGGACCAAACCCCTACATGGAGCAATCTGGATTGGTTGGACAGCTGGGCATAATCAACAGCACGGGTTAATATGGCCAATCACAACGTCACACATCTAGGGACAAAGACTGCAGGTCATACGTACGGAATGGCGAATTACAGTCTGGAAGGAAGTGACACTGATTTGGAGATGATTGTAGATACCAACTGCCTGGGAGTCAGGGGCACAGGTTGTTCTTGTCCATCCTCCTGGTTGAGGGCAAGGGCCAGGCAGGAGCCCAAGTGTGCTGGAGACGAACTCATGGCTGTGCAGATGGTGTCCATGGGAGGTCATAAATATAAAGGGAAGGGTAAACACCTTTAAATTCCTCCTGGCCAGAGGAAAAACCCTTTCACCTGTAAAGGGTTAAGAAGCTAGGATAACCTCGCTGGCACCTGACCAAAATGACCAATGAGGAGACAAGATACTTTCAAAGCTGGGGGGAAGAAACAAAGGTTCTCTCTGTCTGTGTGATGCTTTTGCCGGGACCAGAGCAGGAATGCAGGTCAGAACTCCTGTGAAGAGTCAGTAAGTAATCTAGTTAGAGATGCGTTAGATTCTGTTTTGTTTAAATGGCTGATAAAATAAGCTGTGCTGGATGGAATGTAGATTCCTGTTTTTGTGTCTTTTTGTAACTTAAGGTTTTGCCTAGAGGGATTCTCTAGGTTTTGAATCTGATTACCCTGTAAGGTATTTACCATCCTGATTTTACAGAGGTGATTCTTTTACTTTTTCTTTAATTAAAATTCTCTTTTAAGAACCTGATTGCTTTTTCATTGTTCTTAAGATCCAAGGGTTTGGGTCTGTGTTCACCTATGCATATTGGTGAGGATTTTTATCAAGCCTTCCCCAGGAAAGGGGGTGTAGTGCTTGGGGGGATATTTTGGGGGGAAAGACGTTTCCAAGTGGGCACTTCCCCTGTTCTTTGTGTAACACTTTGGTGGTGGCAGCGTTTAACCTAAGCTGGTAAGAATAAGCTTAGGGGGTCTTTCATGCAGGTCCCCACATCTGTACCCTAGAGTTCAGAGTGGGGAAGGAACCTTGACAGGAGGGCTTTGGC